CCACCGCAGCCTCGACTGCTGGGCTCCCGCGATGCTTCCACCTCAGCCTTCCAAGTAGCTGGAACTACAGGCGCGCACTACCATGCCTGGCTGATTTTTGATTTATTTAGAGATGAGGTCTTGCCAAGTTGCCCAGGCAGGTCTCGAACCCACGGGCTCAGGCAATTCACTCACCTCAGCCTCCCCAAGGCACAGGATTATAGACTGAGCCACTGAGCCCGCGGGTTAGTACTTTTAAAATTAATTTATCTCTAGGCAGATAAAGGAATGTTGCTAGCCAGATGGCAGACCACCCTGAGAGCAAACGGAAAGGGAGTTTAGGGAGTAGAGAACAAAAGGTGAAAGTGTGACTTTTTACTTTCATGAATCCTAAAGGTTTGGCATTTCTCCTTCGGACTTGTAAGGCTATGCAAAAAGAGAAAGGAGTGGGAGAAAATGAGAAATGCAGCCCAGAGGAGTGGAACCTATACATTTTGATGTGTCTTATTTTTTCCTCCCTCTTCTGCCTTCTCTCTTAATCCTTCTCTTTCTCTTTCCTCCTACCTCTGACACCGCTTATTAGTGGATGACAAGTGAGGAAGAGAAGAGGACTTTTCCTCTCTGATGTGTCTCAACTTTTTCTAGTCAAACTCCTTGCTCCCTTCCCTCCTTTCTGACCTCTTTGAGTAGAGGATACATTTTGCTACTAGGAAGGGCAAAATCCAAGCTCAGGGATTTTTGGCTCCCAGATCCCCACCAAGGAATTAGAGAAAATGCCCTCTACTGGTATCCTAGCAACGCCTGTATTACCCAGCACCTGCTTAGCTCCAGCGCCCACCCTTTAAATGCCCAGGCACCAACACCTTTAGAGAAAGGGGACTAGAGCTCAGCGGGGCTTGGAGAGATGATTCTAGGGAAGGGACAAAGGAAGAGCAAGACCCCCATTGCCTGCAAATGCCTGAAAAACATGTCTATAGCAGGCATACAGAGTCCAGCCTCATCCAGCCATGGGAACTATTTATTTAGAAAACTTGAATTCATATCCCTCTCCAGTCATTACTCTCCCCTTAAGATTAACTATGCCATTTCACTGCCTAGCTTTAGTGCAAAAGTCTGCAGGCCCTGAAAAACAATTTTTTCCCCTGACTCTTGGACATGTCAGGGAGGGGGTGAAGTGATACCTTGATGGGAACAAGCTCAATAGCTCTCTTCTTCCATGGAGGCAGCCTCTGCAACATGTGCTTATGCAGTGTGCCCCAGTTTTGTTTGTGGCTTGGGGAACCCTGTTTAGCCCAACTTTATGGAATTTTTTTTTTTTTCTTTCTACAATTTTGGTCCAGTCGTTTCTGACTGGGGAGGCTAGGCAAGTTGGGAAAGCCGGTTTGGTTGTGAAGATGATGAACAAGG